GGAGGGGCACGGCGGGCGAGGAGGCGGGCGGCGTGGGGGAGGAGGAGGTGGTGGGCCGCGTGGGGGCGCCAGATTGGAGGGCGCAAACGGGGGTGTGGAGAGCGCGAGCGCCATTAAGCAGAGCGCTCGGACGGAGGGGCATCGGCGGCGGGATTGGGAGGAGCGGTGACCTTGGAAAGACAAGGGAGTTTTTTTTTTTGGGAAAGACAAGCAAGTTGCGGTGCGGTGCCGTGTGGTAGAGCATGCCCATTAGTAGTAGCGCGTGGTGGCTTACCTACGCTACTATTATAAATTTAACGACAAAGCTATAATCTTGGCGGTCGGAAATTAGCGTCATATCCGGACGACCTGCCAACCGTTTGTTCTTCATCCGACGGATGTGGCGGAGGGACCTGATAAAAGTTCAAACCCATTGCACGTCGTTCGTTCCGGATCGCGCGGTCGCGATTTTAGGAAAAACCAACTGACGCTCCCATGTTGTACGCGGAAACCACCTCTATTCCCTCCGTCCTCGCCGGAAATCATGCTAAACACTTACCTTTTTTTAGCATCTTAAAAATCGCAAAAAAAGGGGGAAGAATGGAACTTGAACTTGGTACGTCACAGGATAATGTCAAACAGCGTGATGCACTAACCACTCAAGCACACTACATTTTCTGTTCTGTTGTACGAAGCTAAGTTTTTGACCCTGGTTTTCACTACTACATTACTAACTACTCAAGCATGCTTCGCCGTTTATGTTTGTCAATTTTTATCATGAGTTTTTCTCTAGTGCACCGTTATGGTTTCACTTTGAAGTGGCATATCTGCCAATGCTTAGATGATGATGACGACAATGTTTGTGATGCAATCAATGAGGCTTCTACATGATATGTTGTCCAAGAGATAGCAGATGTTGGCGAAGGATAGGTGGCAGGTCATCTCGAAAGGATGAGATTTTACACACCGCAAGCATGATTGCTTTACGTACAAACATCATGATAACTTTGGCTTGAGACGAAAAAAGTTTTTGAAACATATCGCCCGATAACTTACATGTGAAGAGCGTGATAATTTAAGTACCATAGACCTGATAAATTACGTGCAAACACCACCGAAAGTTTTGATCCTAGAACTTTCTTTTTGATAAAATATAGCCCAGGTAACTTATGTGTGAATAACATGATAATTTATGCACCGCAGACCTGATAGCTTACGTGCAAACACCTAGATAACTTTTAACCAAGATTTTTCTTAATAAAACCTACCCCCGATAACTACTTCGTGAATAGCATGGTAATTTAGGCATTGTAGACCTGATAACTTATGCGCCAACACCATAGTAACCATTTTTGACGAGAAAAAAAGTTGATTAAACATACCCCCAATAACTTCTGTGTGAATAACATGGTAATTTACACGTCACATACCTGATAACATATGTATCCTCGGGTCTGGTAACTTTGATGGGGAGCAGAGTTTGTTGAAACATACAACGGTAAATTATGTGTAATTAGCACTCTAATTTACAAACCACAGACCTGATAACTTAGGTACCCTTGACATGGTAATTTTGTCCCGGGGGAAAAGTTTTTGGGACATACCCCGGTAACTTCCGTGTAAACTTCATGGTGATTTATGCACCGCGTACCTGATAACTCAAGTACAAATATCATGAAAACTTTTGACCTAAGGGAAAAAGTTGTCAAAATACCCGTATTAGCTTTTGTGCAAATAGCATGATAATTTACGCATCACGAACATGATAATTTACATAATCAACACCGTGCTAACCCTTACCCAAGGGTGGGAGGGGGAAGTTGTTGAAACATACCCCCGATAACTTCTGTGAAAACTTTTATGGTGGAGGAGGGGCTGGTAAGTTGCTGAAATGTACCCTGATA